AGGGGGGGGGAGGAGGTGACTGCTCGATTGAAATTATGACATTGTTCTTAAATCTTCAAATTGTTTGTGATTCCCCCCACTCCAAAACGGAGGAAAAAACGATCGTTCATTGAAAAGACATCCGCAATCTTCATTTAGATCTAGATTAGATCTAGATAAGCCTCGAAACTAGATAATATATATATGATTTATGTCTGTCCGTCTAGATCTAGACCTAGACCATAGATCAAGAAGGACCTAGGTTTACCCTGAGCCAAGAGGGCGCTGAAACTTTCCAAAATCACAAAAGAGTTCCCTTACCGGGTCTCTATACTTTGTGGCTTTGTTCCCAGTTACCGACACTCCCTTTTAAAAAAACTTAAAAGCAACAAATTATAATTTATGGGACTGTTGGTCAGTCAGGAGGAGGAGAAGAGAAAAAAAAAAAAAAACAGTTCGCGAACGGGATCGAACTGCTCATCCTAAAATCATTGCATGGCTCAAACGCAGACGTGCTGTCTATTCGGCCATCAGCACTTCCGACAGCCAGAGGTAGATTAAGCATGATAATAATAAACACTTCAATCTTTGGTGCCATGCGGTTGGCTATTCTTAGTGTCTTAGATGTAGTCACGTGATTGGAGGGGTATCCTGGTCTGACGTCAAACAAGATTAGTGCCTTACCTAAAAATAGTTTGCGTCTTTTTACGTTTAATCGCATGTGGCATGCCCCCCTCGCCTAAAAAGAATCTGGGGGGTTTCCCCCAGCATTTCAAATGATTTGATGTTTTGGCAATTAGGATTGATATTATTTAGGAAAAGGCTAGCCGTACTTAATGACGGCTAGACTGGCAGTCTAGCCGTACTTAAGTACGGCTAGACTCGCAGTCTAGCCGTACTTATTCTTAATATGATGGCTAGACTGACCATTTACAAAAAATAGGCCTACTGAATTGTAAATATACATTTTTAGTGTGCAGTACCTAAAGTATTTGTATTTGAGACGAAACCAGGTACCTTAATGACAGGGCATGTATTTTAAACCTCCTGTTTTCTAATGTTAATAGGGCCTAAGATAAGTACGGCTAGACTCTCAGTCTAGCCGTACTTAAGTACTGGTAGACAGCCAGGCTAGCCGTACTTAAGGATGGCTAGACTGTCAGGCTAGCCGTACTTAATATTGATGGTTGAATTGTAAATGAAATTTTTAGTTCACAATGCCTAAAGTATTTGTATTTCAGACAAAACCAAAAGGTGCCTTACTGACTTGCATGTATTTGAACCTGAATAATTACTAGATCTAGATCTAATGAGACCTGTGTACTTAACAGTTGGGCCAAACCCAGGGTTGGTGATTGTTTTGATTTTTTTTATAAAAAGCAAAAAAATCGATTTTTTAAATTTAAATCAGATTTTTTTTTATTTAATTAAATAGAATTTTTTTGATTTTTAAAAAAAATGTTGACACAGTTTGGGATTTTTGGTGGCTAAAAGTATGTTCTTTCAGTGCAAAATGCATTGTCTTTATTTTAACTAATGATTAATTTAAGCAACTGCAATTTTAGAAAGCCTTAATCTGCTATATCAGTGAATTATGGCTACAGACAAAAAATGAAGAAAATGTCAGTCTAAAAGGAAGGGGGGGGGGGGGGTAATTATGCAATGATAAACTTGCATTTTATTTTTATTACAGTGTGTGTGTGAGCACGCGCTTGTGTTTGTCTAAAAAGAAAAAGAAAATGCTAATTTCAATTATGAAAAAAAAGTAAATTGAATACTGTATTATTTTACTACTGACAGGGGGGGAAAGCAGACTTTTAAGCAATTTTAGTCTACTAAACCTTATATCTGTTTTATAAAACCAAGGAAAGGAATTCTGAATGTTTAAAGATGTAAAAACAGAAAACATTTTTTTAAAGTGATTTAAATCACTGGGTTTTATTTTTAAAATCAAGTTGATTTAAATATAAAAAAATCAACTGATTTAAATCGACCCGATTTAAATCAACCCAACCCTGGTTTTCAATTATGAAAAAAAAGTAAATTGAGAACTGTATTATTTTACAGTGACAGGGGGGAAAGCAGACTTTTAAGTATGATTATATTAGTCTACTAAACCTTATATCCGTTTAAAATAAAACCAAGGAAAGGAATTCTGAAAGTTTAAATATGTAAAAACTGAATACATTTTTTTGAAAAGTGATTTAAATCACTGAGTTTTATTTTTAAAATCAAATTGATTTTTAAAAATTTTAAAATCAACTGATTTAAATCAACCCAGCTCTGATTTCAATTATGGGGAAAAAAGTAAATTGAATACTGTATTATTTTACAGTGAAAAGGGGGGAAATCAGACTTTTAAGCATGATTATATTAGTCTACTGAACCTTATATCTGTTTTATGAAACCAAGGAAAGGAATTCTGAATGTTGAAATGTGTAAAAACCGAATAAAAATAAATTTTTTAAAAAGTGATTTAAATCACTGATTTTTATTTTAAAAATCAAGTTGATTTAAATTTAAATTTAAAAAATCAACTGATTTAAATCAACACAACCCTGGCCAAACCTAGATCTAAGTACGGCTAGACTGGCAGTAAGTACGACTAGCCACTTCGAAAATAGTTTGCGTCTTTCTACGTTTAATCGCATGTTTGGAGGAGTGAAATGTTTTTTGATGCGTCCTTGACTTCGAGAAAAAGTTTCTGACTTGTGTTTGAGTCACGATACTGCATACATAATTTAGTTTTTAGGCCTATGATACGCAACACGCATGAATGCTGACACTAGTCTGGATATAAGGCATCTATTGGATTTAAGATTAGTCTTGAAAGTAATCAGCTGTGCTCGAAAAACTTTAATGTGTGTCTTTGTTCAAAGAATCCGTAGAGAAAAGTCTCTCGGAATTCTGATTCTGATGTCAACCATGCCTAAATTTACCAAGTTGCGATAGGTGACGGGCTGTTGGGAGTGAACGCTTGAAATGCCGCGTGGCTGAGCACTTCCATCTATCATCAACAGTACCCATCTGTTCTGATGTTTTTTTGGTGCATGATATAAATACCAGTAAAATGAGCTTGAGTCCATTTTCCTGCCCATTCAACACTTTTGTTTTCGATTCCCGCAGTCAGGGAATCTTCAAAAATTTTTATTTTTGCAGTTTAGTTACAAAAGTGTCTGACTATGCTA